TTTTTTATCAATTGTCATCGAAACATATCCAACGGACATTTCTTGGTAAATAATGTTAAATCGATACGTTTCACAGTGAAGTGTATTGAGACAAGATGGACGATAGAGGCAAGTGGGAGAGCATCCATGATTTAAACATTATCATGTTGATTATTTTAAACTGTTCCACCAAGAAAGAAGAAGGGAAAATCTAAAACTTATAAGGCTTTTATAACTTTAACATCCAGTGATTTCATCATTTTAAATGACACTTGGATTTCTGTTTTTCCCATTTCTTCAGTTATAAAGGTTTCCTGTAAATATAATCAAATATTCTAGCTAAGTGATACGTACACCGGGACATTGCTTAAACTAAATAGTCTGTGTTGTTGGAGTTACTCATTTTACCTCTAGGTGTGCCAAGTAAACCTTGCGCCGTACAAGTGACCAATGCTGACCGAACGTCTTTGGCTATCTCTTGGAATCCACCGATAAAAGACGGCGGATCGCCAGTAACAGGATACATCGTTGAGAAACAAACCGCTTGGACACAGGTCGCCAAGGTCCCCGCAGATGAGCTCTCCTGTGTTGCTGACAACCTCATTGAAGGTACAGAGTATGGATTCCGAATCACTGCCGTCAACAAATTCGGCAAGGGCAAAGCTTTGGAATCCGACCAGACATGCATGGTTAAGAGCCCAAATAGTAAGTACAGATCAACATCCCAACTCGTGGTCAGTTAGTAAGTACAGATCAACATCCCAACTCGTGGGCAGTTAGCGGTTAAGTTGTCGTGGTCATTTTATCAATAGGGTACAATTTCTCTGACTAGATTATCAACTGAGTGTAAGTTTGAACTTTATTTTCATTACGAATTATTGTTTGCATTTGCCGAACAACCATTTTAAAGTCATTCTTGAAAATCCATTTGACAATCCTACAAATTCATTCTGCATGTTTGAACTAATTAAAAACATTGAAAGTGAAACAGATACAACATACCTAGTCTAGTGGTAGGACGCCGGGCTCGTGATCGAAAGGTTGCAGGTTCGAGTCACAGCACGGAACTGAGATGTATCTTTGAGAAAGATACTTTACTCCGCTTGTTCCAGTCCGGTCTACTCAGCTGTAAATGAGTACGTGGTTGGGCAATGCTAGAGATGTAGAATGCTAGCTGTGAGCGCCAAAATAGCAGCACCGGATGTGTGCTCCCCAGGGTTTCAGAAATATATTGGCTGGTTGCAAAGGCCCTATAACCACGGATAATAATTTGTGAACAGCTTTGAGACGACCTACGAACTAGGTTGTACTAAAGCGGTATATAAGAACCTCGAATTATTGTAATTATTACCAGGTCACATGCAAACAAATATTTGGATTAGCATTCTGATATTATGAATAAATTTTAACAATGTAGTAACTCCCTAGGTGAGATCTTTTACAATTGAGTTTTTATGCCGCATTCAAAAAAAAAGATATACTGCACAGGCTAAATTCTGCCTAATTTCACAAACTCACGGTAGTGCCAAGAATTTTAGATTAAATTAGTTTTGTCATTATAAGAAGAAGAATGAAATAGCTCCGAACTTTACCTGTGGCCAGAGACCGCGAAAAAGCTGGTTCCATACAGGAAATCTCTTTTGTCCTACCATCATCACATCGTTGGCTTTAAAAGCGCCCTTCGTCCGTGGTCCGTCCTTAATCATGTATTGATCGGAAATTAAGATAGCCGCTGAGAAGCCGTTTGATTTTGACAGTTCAAGTTTGTTGACATTATTTAAAAATATGAGCGGAACGGATAAATTAAATTGAATATGCAGTTTCACCTTGGTTATTTGTTTTGCATGATTAATTTGAGACAGATTAGAAGAATACGATGACCGCCAGGTAACCATCTTGGATTCTGAAGAGTTTGTCGTCACTATTAAAGTTTTTTGTTTTAATTTCATATGTATAATATTCGTGATCTTAAGCTTTGTACTGTTTATTTAAAGGCGTATATACCTGATATCTCATTGTTTTTGCTTCAGTAATTCATTATATCACAAAATCAGTTTTATGATATTAGAAATGAAAATGATATGAAGAAATAATGCTGTCAGTCGCCCGATTCGTCTTGCAATCAATGAATTAAATCCTAGTGATTTTGCAGGTTGAATTTCAGACAGGGACGTTCTGTTCCAGGAGGAAAGAAATTAGTTATGGCAGTTGGGTAAAATAGCATGTACAACATGCAGTACCATTAACGATGTTATTTTTTAAACAGAATCACCCCAACCAAGAGACACCCCGGAAACAACAGAAAGAGATACCAGTGATATCAAAGGTATGATTCTGATTTATTCACTGTACTGCATTTTACTAACAATTGATATCCATACAAATTAATACAAAGTATTATAGACAAACGATAAAGTAGGTGTCATCTTTAACCGCAAAATGAACCAGTATCGTCAAAACGTTTGTATTACTATTTGCACTGAAGCGTGTCCTATAAGCAACAACCGACAGGAAAATGCCGAAGTTTTTTTGGGTGTTTTTTACTTCCATTTTGTATAGATTTGAAACGTCACTTTAGATATTTAAGTTTTAAAGGAGTTAAAAACTGTCTGTTGTTTTGAATATATTTTGTTAATAAATTCCACACGATATGATACATTTCATCTTAATCATACATCTTTTTTTTAGGGATAAAAAATGGAACTTATTATTCTTTGAGTAGATTATCGTTTAAACCTTGATATCAAACAATTTTCACATAAAGTTTGTTGCTTGTGGGTTGTTGCGTAGGGAATTTTGAACCATTTGTTACTGTCAGTATGCCATAGAATATGTTGTTGTTGTTTTTTTATTTCGCATTAAAAAAAAAAATATGACGCAAGGGCTAAATTCTACCAAATTTCACGAACTGATCGTACGAAGTTAAGACAATACTATTGTAGTCCTTATTCGAAAACAAATTTACTAGTTCCGTGGTTCAGCCGTTGTCAGTGACCTCGAAATCGTAGGTTCGATCCAGGAAATCATTCTTAGCTCTCCACCATTCACCTCTTGGATTTTAAGGTTGTGACCGCCATACCGATCCCAGGCACATCTGTCCATTCCTCATCCTCTTGCAATCAGTGAATTAAATTCTAGTGATTTTGCAGGTTGGTTTCAGGCAGGGACGTTCTGTTCCAGGTGGAAAGAAATTAGTGATGGTATTTGGGTAAAAACACATGTACAACATGCAATCATATCTACGATGTTATTTTTTAAACAGAACCACTACAAACAACAGTCAGTCGGGAAACAGAAAGAGATATCAGTGATATGAAAGGTAAGATCCTGATTTATACACTGTACTATATTTACTAACAATTGAATTTATACAAATCAATACAAAGTATTATAGACATACTATAAAGTAGGTGTCATCTTTAAACGTGAAATGAAACAGTTAAGTCAAAACATTCGTATTACTGTCTGCACTAAAGCGTATCCGATGAGCAACAACCAACAAGAGAGTACCAAAGCGTTAACAAAAACCATAATGAAACTCACAATCGATAAAACTAAGGCAAAAAGCAAATTGACATAAAAACCACTGAAAAAGATAAAAAAAAAAAAATCATTCTTGTATTCTGGAGGGTAAGTTTCTTCTGATACATCGACGACACTCGCTATATAAATATAGGTCAAATCCAAGTAACGTCACGTCTACGGATCGAAATTTCCAGGCACTTACAACAAGATGATGAGGAACAATAAAAACATCGACCTTCATATCACACAGAGAAATAACACGTTTCATTACAAAATCATGATAGCAACAATAAAACTTGTCCACAGTCTGCATAATTGGTAGCCCTGTGTTTGACTAATAAAGCTTTTTACCACCGGTCCATAATAATCTGTAAATTATGACATTTGTGACATTAACATACATCAAAAGGTAAGAGGATGCAAAAAGTCCATGTTTCCATGACTGAGAGTATTAACAAATGCCAGAGTTTCTGTGATTCGGTGTAAATTATTTGACAGTTCAGCCAAATTCAGCGTATCAGGATGGTTCATATCTTACTGAAAGAGGGAATATATATCACCTGCAAAATACAGTGAATATTTTGTATATTTATATTTTTGGCAAAGATAATCCATTGCATGTCGTGCCATGTAAAGCCGAGTATACTTTTTGAATACTTGCGTTATGTTGAAGAAAAAACAGCAAGACGACAGGTTGCATCACAGCCTATTGACAGAGAACATTTATGATGCCATTTTATTCAAAATTGAGGCAACAATTTAGCAATATTATAGAATTTCGGTAAAATATTTGTAGATGTGTTCTGTTTGCGTGTCAGTTTTAATATATTCGCTGACATTTGTTTTACCTTTAAATTGTTTTTAGACTTAGACGTAGGTGTTTTTTGTGCATGCATCCACTCATGTTGGCCAATTTGAAATATATTTTTAGATTCATATTTAGATTAAACCGTGCAACAATAATTTACCGGAAAGTATGGTGACATAATTGCAGGAATACGTTAACTTATAGGATATCACAATAGATATTTAATTCTTTTTAACCCAATATTTCCTATGTCATATGATCTTCATTTACACGAAAACCTTTTTTTTAAGCATAAACGGTATCCTCTCAAGAAATATGTTTGTGTTAGGACAACTCCTGTTCTATATATTGTCTAAAATGACCATTCAGCCCTAGCAGTTTCTTTTTGGTTCTGTTTTTGCAGTACGTAGGACCATGGTCTATGGTCAAGCTGTTCCTTTAGTAATAATATCATTTACTTTAAAATAAAAGAATAATTTTACATTATATTTTTTTTTCATAAAAGATGCTAATTTAGTCAAACTGTCGCCATACATAACCAAAGTTTAAATATCTTAAATATATAACATATATTTATCCACCATAGGTAGTTAATACACCTGTATACTAATATAACAGTTACTCTGAGAGGCTTAGGATTTAACATACATTACAAACATTTTGATGAAGACGAACTAAACTACTGTATCATTTTGACTGATTTGTTTAAGTTACCTGTGTATTTAACCCGTGATTAAGATATAGAACAAATAATTGCAATGTTCTATTGATACACTGTTGTGTCATCTCCATGTAGCCTTTAAATTGCTAAATGAGTGTATGGTTTGAGTATATTATTTTAATTGCTTTTATATTGTATGATTTTTGCAAGGAAATGACAAATATGATTTATGGTTTCGGTATTTCATTATTGTTTTTAAATTGTGTGGTGTTTGTAAGAAAATGACAAACATTTTTTTTATTATCGTTTGTAACCTATACTCCAAAAGATTATCTTTCTTGTTTCTTTGAGTATACACGTCATTATCTCCTAATACGTATATATATGTATATATTCACTAGCATCGTCATCAGCAATTGTTGATGCATAACGTATCTGCATCATCAACATGCTTATAGAAATTATAAAATGACTTTGTTAACAATATGAACGATAAACACATTCATCGAATAATAGACGTAGTATTGTTTGAACAAAGTTTAGTATGGAAAAAAAGTAATACACTATTTTCCCACAAGGAACCACTGTGTAACGAGAGGGATTACGTTGAGGCAATCTGCAGTAAATCACTTCTCTCGGGCAATTGCGTTGTCTCAGGGACTATCTAGTTTCGTTTACGAAAGTGTTTTTTTCGCAAATAGTCCCTTCTTTCCGTCAGACCAAGCAAGCACGAAATGCAGAAACTATGTTCAAATATCTTTGAACGTGTGTTTATAATTCTAAATATATATCTAACGATGTTGTTTTAAAATCTTGTGTCTAGATTTGTTAACCTGTGTATAAGATATAGAACAAATTATTGCAAAGTTCTATTGATACAAAATGTACACTGTATTGCTAATATCTATGTAGGATGTAAATTGCTGTATGGTTTAGTCTGAGTATTTAATTATTGAGTGTAGATGGTATGGTGTTTACTACAAAGTGACAGCCATTTTTTATTACCGTATGTAAACTATAATCCAAATGTTTATATTTCTTGTTTCTTTGATTATTTACGTGATTATCTTCTTATAGATATTTATATATTAACCCAATATTTCCTATGTCATATGACCTTCATTTACACGAAAACCTATTTTAAGCATAAACGGTATCCTCTCAAGAAATATGTTTGTGTTAGGACAACTCCTGTTCTATATATTGTCTAAAATGACCATTCAGCCCTAGCAGTTTACTTTCGGTTTTGTTTATGCAGTACGTAAGAACATGGTCTATGGTCAAACAGTTCCTTTAGTAATAATATCATTTACTTTAAAATAAAAGAATAATTTTACATTATAATTATTTTTTTATAAAAGCTGCTAATTTAGTCAAACTGTCGCCATACATAACCAAAGTTTAAATATCTTAAATATATAACATATATTTATCCACCATAGGTAGTTAATACACTTGTACACTAATATAACAGTTACTCTGAGAGGATTAGGATTAACATACATTAAAAACATTTTGATGAAGACGAACTGAACTACTGTATCATTTTGACTGATTTGTTTATTTTACCTGTATACTTAGCCCGTGTTTAAGATATAGAACAAATAATTGCAATGCTCTATTGATACACTGTTGTGTCATCTCCATGTAGCCTGTAAATTGCTAAATGAGTGTATGGTTTGAGTATATTATTTTAATTGCTTTTATAATGAATGATTTTTGCAAGGAAATGACAGATATGATTTATAGTTTGGGTATTTCATTATTGTTTTTAAATTGTGTGGTGTTTGTAAAAAAATGACAGACATTTTTTTTAGTATCGTTTGTAACCTTTAAACCAAAAGATTATATTTCTCGTTTTTTTTACTAAACACTTGATTATCTTCTAATACAGATATATATATATATATATATTCACTAGCATCGTCATCAGCAATTGTTGATGCATAACGTATCCACATCATCAACATGCTTATAGAAAGTGATCAAATGACTTGGTTAACAATATGCACGATAAACACATTCATAGAATAATAGACGTTATATTGTTTGAACAAAGTTTAGTATGGAAAAAAAGTAATACACTATTTTCCCACAAGAAACCACTGTGTAACGAGAGGGATTACGTTGAGGCAATCTGCAGTAAATCACTTCTCTCGGGCAATTGCGTTGTCTCAGGGACTATCTAGTTTCGTTTACGATAGTGCTTTTTTCGCAAATAGTCCCTTCTTTCCGTCAGACCAAGCAAGCACGAAATGCAGAAACTATGTTCAAATATCTTTGAACGCGTGTTCATAATTCTCAATATATATCTAACGATGTTGTTTTAAAATCTTGTGTCTAGATTTGTTGACCTGTGTATACGATATAGAACAAATTATTGCAATGTTCTATTGATACAAAATGTACACTGTATTGCTAATCTCCATGTAGGATGTAAATTGCTGTATGAGTTAGTCTGAGTATTTAATTATTGAGTGTAGATGGTATGGTGTTTACTACAAAGTGACAGACATTTTTTTATTACCGTATGTAAACTATAATCCAAATGTTTATATTTCTTGTTTCTTTGATTATTTACGTGATTATCTTCTTATACAGATTTTCTTAACCAGATTTATATATTCACTAGCATCGTCATAAGCAAAGGTTGATGCATAACGTAACCGTACCATCAGCATGCTTAAAGAAACAGGAAAATATAGGGACATAATTGCAGGAATCCGCTTACACTTAGGATATCAAAATAGATAGGGGATGCATTTAAACCCAATATTTTCAATGTCATATTACCTACCTTTGCAAGAAAACTTATATTTAAAGCATATACAGTACCCTCTAAAGGGACATTTTAGTGTTAGGAGAACTCCTGTTCTACATATTGTCTTAAACGTGACCGTTTACTTTCGGTTCTGTTTATGTATTACGTAAGGGTATGCTGGAGCGAGATCAATGGTCCAGTTGTTTGCTAAGGAATATTATTATTTACATTGAAATGAAATTTTCTTTTGAATAAGAAAGCATGATATAATGATCTTATTTAGTCCAGGTTTTGTTAATTATTGCCATACATAACCAATATTTCAATCGTGTAACAATAGTAGCAGTTAATACATTTGTATACGAAGCTTAGGATTAACATACGTTACACACAGTTTGATGATAAAGTACTACTGTAGCATTTTGACTGATTTGTTTGTGTTACCTGTGTACTTATTCTGTGTATATGATACAGAACAAATAATTGTAATGTTCTATTGATACACTGTTTTGTCATCGCCATGTAGGATGTATATTCAATTACTGTACATTGCTGAATGATTTTATTGTTTGTGTATGTTATTATTGCTTTTAGATTGTATAGCGTTTGCAAGAAAGTGACAGACAATCATTATTATTGTTTGTAAACTCTAATCCATAGGTTTGTTTTTTCTCGATATTTTTTAAATTAGACATTTGATTATCTTCTTTTACAGATTTATATACTCACTAGGATCGTTATCATGAAATGTGGATGCAAAACGTAATCTTATCATCATCATTATAAACAAAGGGATAAGATGGCTTTTTAACAATACGAACGATCTTCATCGAATAGCAGACGTAGTATTGATTGAACTAAGTTTAGGATAGAAAAAGTAATACATTTTGTCCACAGACAATCATCGTGTAACGAGAGTGATCAATTTTTACATATCTTGGTTAAGGTAAAGTTCATTAGATCACTACTCTGAGACATTACGTTTGTCTCCGTGACGATCCAGTTACGTTCACGAAACCGCGTTTTTATTTACAAATAGTCCCTTCTCTCCATCAGACAAATCAAGCATGAAATGCAGAAACCATGTTCAATTGTTTTTGAACGGGTGATTATAATTCTTGATATATATCTAACGATGTAGTTTTAGAGTCTGGTTTACCTTCCATTTTGTACGTAGTGTAAATGTACAATATCGCAGCAAATCATTGCAAAGTTATTGTTGCAATACACTTGATCCAAAACAGCTGGACAAATACCAGAACTTTATCAATACATGTGGATGCGATGCTTTTTATATAATTACAGTGTAAAGATCCTGTTCAAACATACTGTTTTTATATACCTAATACATGATTTGAGTTCGGTTTTTTGTGATTTATTAAGTTGACAAAGCAACAAATATATAGTGAGCAAATTAAATGCAGTTTGGATTACGACTTATGACAAACGAAACTGCATAACATGAAATGTTTGCTTTGTATGAACATTTGTGCTTTTCATGGTTGCTATGGAGCCCCAAAAATAAATATAATGGATTTGATTGATATACATAAGCATTAAGTGATCAAAATGTTTCTAAACTTCGAAAGAAAATACCCACAAATTTCATGTTTTTTAGTTTATTTTACAATTAATATGTTGAAGTCTATTCCTCTCTCGAAGATAGTTGTGACTTCAATGTGACTTAATGCTATGACTACTTACTGATTTTAGAACAGGTTTAACTAAATCGATAAACTGTATCTCATTTGTTTAAAAATATACTGACACGCAAACAAGAGCCTCAAGTTGATTCGGGCGCGTCCAAATGCGTTTATCTAATAATTCATATAGTTTGGGAATGTCTTTGACGTTTTGGCAGAGATAATCAATTGCGCCATGTGTTGCCATTTTGCAAACTTAAGTGGTATTGAAGAACAAACGGAAAGACGACAGGTTGCATCACAGTGAATTGATAAAAAAANACAATTTGAAGCAAACCATTGGCAAAATATTTTAAGAAAATAATTTATCCACAACAGCTGGATAAATACCAGAATTTCATTATTACATGTGTATGTATTGCATTGAATATCATTACAGTGCAAAGATCCTGTTAAAACATGTTTTTTTTATATATAGACCTTATGTATGTTTTGAGTTTGTTGTTTGTTGGTGACTTAATAAGTTGACACAGGAACAAATATGTAACGAGCAAATGCAGTTTAGAATACGATTTATCACAACGCTACCGTATAACATGAAATGTGTGCTGTGTATGAACATTCGTGTTTTGCATGGTTGCTATGGAATCTCAAACATAAATACAATGAATATGATTGATATATATGAGCATTGATTGATCAAAATGACTTTAAACTACGAAAAATAATTCCACGGACATTTCCTGTTATACAGTATGTAATATTGATTACAATCTGAACCGCTTCGTGAGTTGTATATATCATGTCCCTAAATATTTCTAATTTTTTAGTGCCTCCTATTTTTAATTTGTTTGATTTTGGCTTTAATGTAGAAACGTAGAATGAACATGTTACTTATCAAAGTTTTGCAATTGTATTCTTTCTGATAAGCTCTATAAAAAAACACGAGAATAACGAACGCAAACAAAAGCTACTGATAGAATACTTGGTCCGAATTCGGAATGAAATACCGTCTATGATTACAATATCTCGAGCTCAAAAGTTGACAAATAACAAATGTCCACTTGATACGGATAATAAGACATCTAGACCTGTTTATCTTTCAAACAAAAAAACGTTTGCCGCTTTTTAATACAACATACGTCATTATACCTGTTACAATGATATCAATTAAGATAAAATTCACACTTTAGTTACAAGTAATTAAAAAAGTAATTGATTGCTGTATTTTTTCCGACATGTATGTATTAGTAAAATCAAAGTATTATTTTGTGTCTCAATTTTTCTCGTTTGAAGGAAAATATTATCTCGTTTGAAGAGAAATGAGAAGCAATCCAGCTCAACAGTGGTGTTTTTACAACCACATGGAAATGAATACATTTCACCACTTGATTAATCCAGCACCAAATGGTTACTGTAAACTCGATCGAAATCTTTGACATATGTAAAGTTAAAGTTCTTACACATTGACAGGGACATCTTATAACTATGCTACCTAACAAAATCTGCCGTTTTCCATATATATTAGATTGAGTTGGTTTTATACATTTTTGTTATTATATATCTTGTACGGACCTTTGTTCCTTATGTCGTTTGTCCTTTAATCTTATATATCCAAAATTATCTATGGTCATTATTAGGTGTAAATTGATAAAATAGCTATCAAAGAATATTATCATTTTGACAAGGACTTGCTGGATCATGATATATAAAAAACACTTGCTGGATCATGATATAGAACAAACACTTGCTGGACTACGATGTTCAGGATTATTTTGGATTACACTTTGTAAAAAATGCTTGTTTTTATACATTTTTAATACAGTGTATGAAAAATGTTTTCAGAACCTAAACCAACCACTTGCTTTGTTAATATATATGACCATGATTTGGTTTTTAAGTTCCAAACGCATGTTTGTTCAAGATGTATGAAAACAATTGTTGGACTACGATGTTTGCCATTTTATGATTGTTTTCAAATATATCGGTTTATCACTTTCTTTATATCTCCTTAGACATTTTGTTTGCTATCCGCTTTACTTAATAAATATAGTGCTTTCTTTTTCTGATCAGTTGTTAGTCATTTGTACCCAATGTCATATTCACAGAGAACGCATATGAGCCCGGCTCATACTATGTTTCTTTCAGAGATATATCAGGTTATAATTTAAAAGGAGGACATCACAAATACAGATTTTCGTATCATATCAGTAAGTGCTTATTCTAATAGCTTATTGATAAAACCAGAAAAAAATGTTATGCTACATAGATTAAGTAATTAGCAACTTCCTTCCGTTATTGGTCGTCGGATGGTGCAGTGAATAGCGCACTTTCCTTTCACCAAGGTGGCCAGGGTTCGATTCCCCGATCGGACGTGAAATGGTATTGGGTCACCTGCCCGACCGCGTGGGTTTTCCCCGGAAACTCCAGTTTCCTCCCACACTAAGATGCCCCGCGCGCTAACTTCTGGGCCAACAAGAGTGGTGATTAATATAAGTTTAAATAACTTGTTTCATAATTGTTTATAAAAGTTTATATTTATATTTGTATTTACCACCTCCCAACAGTACACATACAACTTTGTTCTCCCTGATTCTCATCCAGGTTCAAGGTAAAGTGCCTAGCAAGACGACAAAATAAAGCTAAGATACTACTCTGTCTAGCAATTGATTCTAACAATTCGTCAGGATACCATACCATACATAGAAGACAAATGCTAGTGTTGATCTAAGGGGCATTGTATTTAAAACCTCCTTAATAACTTAATTACAATTAGTTGAGCTGAGTTACTTAAAAAGAGATTATCATAATTATTTGGTGATGGTTTCCACGTTTGCATTTTATAATGAGAAACATTGCAATGCATCGACTAGCCTTAACGACAGGGGGCGGTTCAGCATAACAGGATGTTGTTTATAAGAGACATATTATAGAAAGAAATGAAAGTTATCCAAGAGATAAAATCGTAAACAGGAAACAACATATTGACAGTGTACCAAAAAGTGTAGATAAGCAGGACACAATACACGTTATGTCTTCATTGCTGTAGAGGTAAACGACACAACATTGCACATATAACACATACAAGACATACTACGTAATGTACTAAAGAAAAACAATATATATTGTGTTGCCAGTAGTTGTTGAAGCAACGATGATGACGCAGCGTTTATCCAAGACTGATTGTAATATGAAAACGACAAACAATGTTGGTTAATCGGTGTAGTAAACAAGGAGACACTTTTGGTTTAAGGAGACATTAAGCTATCTGTACATAGGGTTGCAATAACGAGCATTGTATCGTATATAATTGAAAAGCAAAGCATGAAAAGAAGTTCCTTTAATTGCTGATATTTACTGATTCAGAATAAGATAACTTAGATAAACTATATTTAAAGTTGGTAAGACGAGGAAAAACAATAAAACACATGTAAACTCTAATGAGCTTTTCAGACTGACATTTATGTTTTAGATGCTTTGTATCATAGATGATTGGTATTCATCATAATAATTTTTGCATCAACTACACTATGTTCTCCGTATTGTGACAGGTAAATAAGTCAATCAGAATTAAACACCAGTTTCTGTCTGCACCTAGCTATAAATCAGCACGTGGCATGTAATTTAACAACGTTGCTAAACAATGGAGTTAAAACTTGTGTTAGTTGTATCATTGTTGATTTCGACATACATGAATATTTTATTGTTTCTTTTATGACTAGTGATGTATCAATCAATTATTTAAAAAAAAAAAGAAAAAAAAAAAGTCTATTTTTTTTCATTTAAATTATCAACAAATCGTAATAAAAACCAATGAAATTGCATCTGTATAGAAACAAATCTGTACTGATAAGTCAAATGCTCAGT